GCAATTACACTAAAACTTCAGAAGGTGCCCACTACGCTTATCACAACTTGGAGTTAAGACACCATTTTCCCTCAAAGTGCATGCTAACCTCCTTAGTTTGGAGCCACCGGAAGAAATTTCTACCATTACTTCAAAGACTGATTTTCGCATTCATTATAATTTTGCTGACTTTCCTTGACAGTCACCTTACTCCCCATTTTTCCTTCCCTAGGACACATGGCTGCCCTGCTGCCTTGGGGCGTGCCCTTGTGCCCTCAGACCCCTGAGCAATGCCCTGTTTCGGTGGGACGCAGCTCACGGCAGGCCCTGGGGACGCTTGGGTTGATACGTCCTGGCTACGGGGCACCTCCAGTTGTTCTGAGTTTTTCTGTCCAGGACAAACTGAAATGCCAGCAGAACAGCAGATCACATCCTGGCAGCCTCAGGGAGGCTCTGAGGTGAGCACAGCAGGCACCAGTCACCTTGTCTGAGCTGAAGCTGCCCTTGCAGAGCCAGTGTTCATGGAAATTAAACTCAAAGAGCAGGTTTTTTCCAAAGGTTCATGTTTGTAGACAATCTAACCGCTGCTACCCTTAGCTGAGCCCGCTGTCCACACAAGTGCAGAGAGGGAAGCGGCAGAAGAATGACATTTATGTAAAAATCACATTTTACTGGGCATGGCTGCTGTGAAACATGGCCCTAGAGACTGCTCCTGGGGTCTGGAGGACACAGCCTCACCAGGACCTGGGACACAGAGGAAGGGACAGCCTTCAGATGAAGCCATTTGATAAATTAAGGCAGTGGCTCCAGTCACACACCACCCGTCTTGCCAATGCTATCACAGGGCCAGCTGCTGGACCCTGCGTTGCTCCAGGGGCTGGCCCCATGTGCAGCAGAGCTCGCAGGACACGACACCAATTTGAGGAGCCTGCCCGTGTCCCCAGGACGAGCAGGAAGGCTGCATGGGCACACACTGGCTGCCTTAGTTCACCCTTATATTTGCTTTCAAACCTAAACCCCTGCTCTCCCGAGAGGGACAGGAGTGCATCGCTCGCCTGCTTACCTTTGGAGGGAAGGCATCAAAGGAGAAGGTGTCCTGGAAGTGCTGCTGCTTTGCAGGTCATTAACAGAGCCACAGGGAGCAAACTGCGTACCCCAGAGCCCTACAGTACTATCGGAGGGGAACACAGAAATCCCAGGCGTTATCACCCTGTACAATCAGGTTAGTACCAAAGTGATTTTATGACACTGATGGATGTGAAATCATGGGAGATTTGGGCAGAAAATAATCCCAGAATGGGCCAACTGCCTTTTGAAACTGCCTTACAGTTGTCACTGGCCCCTGCCAGCTCGCCTTTGGGAAGGAACCCCTCTCCTTGAGAAAGATTTCTTGCTGCAGGTTTTCTGGCTCACGCTGGGCTTCTAGTAATGATATATTGCTTATGTATAGATCAATAGAGCATATGAGTCCACACTTGCCGCAGCATCTTCAGCTCAAGAGGTTGATTGAACTTGGAACATGATGGCTATTTGAAAATAAAGCCATCGCTGGGAAAAGGCACAAGTGCTCTCACTTGGCCAGCGCTGGGTAGGAAACGCAGTGACCACAGCACACTTGCCCAGGCACCAAACCCAACCCAGGGCAGCCCTGGCTCATTCCCTGCACCAGGACCAGGCTCCCACTGAGCAGCAACACAGCCCTGCAGCCCCCAAACCCCCTCCCTGCCTGGCTCAGAGCTGGGGACCAGGCTGCAGCAGCACCAAAAGCTAAAGAAATGAGTTCTCCCAACCAGCAACAACCTCCCAAACCCTGCCCGACCACAGCAGCCAGCACAGACCCTACCTTGACCCCAAGGGGCGAAGCTATCATCCTCCTCCTCTCCATCATGCCAGGAGCTGCCCATGCAGGGGCGGGGGGCTCTTGGCCTCAGGTAATTGGTGGCAGCTGATGGCACTGTTCCCAGCTGGGGACACTGATTAAACCCCCCCTGCCGTGCCTGTCATGCCAGGGAGGGACCCTGGCCCTGCTGTTTGGCCTGGCCACAGTGCATGGAGTTCATTAAATTGATTTGGCTTCTGCTAAGTGGCTGCGGTGCCACTGCCTGGGCTCCCCAGCAGCAGGAGTGGCGCGTCTGAATGTAGATTGAAGTATGCTCATTATTAGGTGTTCTTGATATTACTCATTCTCACACCAAACTAAAGATGAAGACACTGATCTGGTGCTTTCCTGGAGTAATAAAGGACCAGGGGGATTTGCAGATTATTTTTTTTTCCTACCTCCTTTAGATGATTTCTGGACCACAGTACTTTTTAGCTAGAGGGGACAAAGCCACAGGCCAGTGGGCTGGTAAGGAAAGCAGGGACCCACCTGCACCAGTGGCTGGACCGTGCCGTGTCCCCAAGCCCAACATAGCCCGAAGCACCAGCCTGGCCGGGGTCACATCCTCGGCCCCCCACCTCTCCCATGGTGGCCATGCCCTGAGAGCCCCCAGGAGATGAGAGCAGCCCTTCATGTTCGTGTCCTCCAGTGGACAGTCAGTCCCTGGCCACCGTTCTGGAGGCTCCTCTCCTCCCAGGACGGCGATGGGCAGTGGGTACAGCGGGTACAGCAGGTACAGCGGGTACAGCAGGTACAGCAGGGCTTGGCCCAGGTGGCAGCTCAAGCAGCCACGCCATCACTCGGCTGCTGAGGAGGAGGAGGGAGAGCTTTGCTTGCCCCGAGTCCCCGTGCCCCAGCTGATGGGCCGTGCCCCGACCCTGCAATCGCTCACCCACAGGACCCAAACCTGCCCACGCTCTCTCCTCAGCAGGCACAGCACCAGTGTCTTCATTTGTCCCAGAGCGTGGCTGCTAACACACAACAGAACCAAGTCGAACACCAGTTTTGCACGAGTGAATTTACTTTAAAAATGTACAATTTCTGGAACGCGATGACTACTCAGCAGAGACACTGAGTGCTTGTGATTCCCTCATGTGTTGGGGTGCCTGGGATGGGGCACAGGGAGCGGCGCCCCGAGCTGCGGGGTGGGAAGGGGCTGAGCCACTGTGCCCCGGGCCAGGCGTTGAGCGGCCCTCCTAGAAACCTGCACCTGCGTTGGAAAATTTGCCCTCTCTCTTCACGGGCTGCCCTGATTTTTCTTTGTCTGCTTGCAGCATTTCGCAAATATTGCGCATCTTTGGGTCGAGTGGGGGTTTTTTGCATAGCAGGAGTAGGAAGCAAAGGCAGGAGGGTCGCTCCCTGCGTGGCTTTTCAGTTATTCCTTGGCTCTTGTGCATAAAACCCTGCCCTGTCCCAACCGTCTTCACTGCAGGTATCATACATGGGCAAAAACATCCCGTGAGGATGCAAGTGCACCCCAGAGGTATTGGTGCCCTGTTCCTGTCACAGGGAAACTGCTAATTAAAGTGGCTAAGTGGAAATGACCAAGGGACAAAAGCAAGTGCCACGACTGCCATGCTGTTGTGCGCTAATGAGAGCCATGCAGCGGCAGCCGGTGATGCTGGCACGCACAGAGAGCAGGGACAGCACCCACCCACCCTTCGCCGCTTCGCCGGGTGCCTCTGCACGCAGGCAGCAGCCGCCTTCCCACCGCAGAGCTCGCACCGGCCCCGCTGCCACCTACACTGGAATGGGGCCGTAACAGCGAGGCTGAAAAGCCCAGCTCCTGGTTTCAATGCCCGGGTTGCTTAGAATGGCCAGTGGTGGGCATCTGCGCCCGCTCGCCCGGGAGCACACCGGCCCCCTGTGTTCCTGCACCCCCCTGCAGCTGGCGGGTCCCTTGTGCCGTGTGTCCTCGGAAGAGAGGAGGCTGCTCTGTCTGTGCTAAGAAAAGGCAGCGATACATCCCGGTTCTGGGAGCGACTGCTAAAAATAGCGATATCTGTATTTGGAGAGTGGAGGGAGGAGGGAGGGCTCGGGGTCGCTCGCAGGCAGGCGGCGGCGGGCAGAGCTGGCGAGCACAGCCAGCGACGGCACTGGGGGCAGCGGCTCTTTCCCAGCACTCGCTGCAGAAAAGCATTCGCTATTCCCATTTAGCACATCCATGATTTAATGCTGCAGCTCTGGCAATGGGTTGTGGCGTGGTTTTGTTCATTAACCAGTGACAAGGTAAAGGGCTCCCACAAGTAACTGGCCGCTGGGTGCTGTTTCCCACCTCTGCTACTGACTCTTCTCATCACCTTGAACGCATCTTTTCATTTTTTGGGGCATAACCAACCTCTCTCAGCACCCTGGCTGTGTTATTCACCCCCTGCAAAGCAAAACCAGCTCCTGCCATGCCCGAGGCTGGGCACCCGAGCGGCTCAGTGCTGGGATGGGGAGCTTCACCACTGGGCTGCCAGCGTGCTACTGGAGGGAGAGATCTGCAAGCCTGCCCTGCATCTGGATGCGGATCACACGGGGACTTTCCTACTGATGGCTTTGCATCGGGCCCTTTCACAGCTTCTCAGTCCTTTTTGTCCCAGACTCTTCCCCTGGGTGCACTGCCTGCACTGATCTCCAATTGCCGACTACGAGCCCGCGGGATGCTCTCGCCCCGGCAGCTGCTCCCCTGCGCAGCCGTGCAGATGGCATGAGCTGCCCGGCGTCCCGGCCGCCGGGAGACACCCTACGGCCACAGCCCTGCCTCCAGGATGGTGCTTGGCCACAGATTCACCATTCCCTGCCTGGAGAGCATGACCTGGGACTGCTATTACTCACACCGGGATTATTTTAACCCCAAATCCTTACTCTAAAGACAAGCTCCCATCTCGATCTATAGGATGGTGGTGGGTTTGCATTTAAATTGAGGGAGTGGGGCAACCCAGCCTGCACAGAGAGTGGTCTCTTGAGAGGTATATAAAGATCCTTCATAATCCCAAGTGAGGTAGCTGAGTGGCGTGGTCCTGCTCCCCGACGGGAAAGGACGTGGTCAGCGGGGGCTGTGGGAGGTGGTGCTGGAGCCAGGGCGCCTCTCGGGGTCTCTTGCCCCCAGCCCTCCCTGCCAGGCACAGTTTCTTAAGACAACCAAGTTCCTACTTGGTCATCAGAGCACCAGGATGGAAAAACAAAGGCCAAGGGCTCAGAGAGCAAGCTGCAGGAGCAACTGCACCCTGGACTTGCACTCTGGGCAGATTTCAGGCACTGGGGTCTGGAGGGTTTTTTTTGCAAGTGCTAGGCTCAGAGTTGCAAGAGCCAAACCAGAGGGGAAGGCAAGGTTGGTCTTAAAGTTTCGTGTCGCTTCATCTGGAGAACATGCTGGGGACCCATCAGATACGTAGGTGAGAGAAATCTTGCGTTTGGGTTTGTCTTCCAGCATGCTGGTAGGACACAGCCGGGCACAGCCGGGCTCAGAGAAGGTCTTTCACGATCTCTGATGGCAGGGCTTCCCCTGCCACGTTCACAGTGCCCAGGCCTGACCTCTTCTGTGTGACAAGCACCATCACCTGCACTGTCCTCTTCAGCCCCGGCTGGCAAGCAGCTCCATCGGCCAGGATAGCCAGGGGAGCACGCCGGGGCGAGCCATGGGGCGGCCGGGGCAGTTTGTGGCACTTGGGGTAGTTACTGAAACACTCAAAAGTGTCGTTGCAGTTTCTGCAAGCCCCAGGGTGGTCACTGAAGCCCGGGGACGGGAAGGGCTGGAGCACGGCGCTCGGGCAGCCGCAGCAGAGGAGGGTGCGGATGGCCTGGAGGAGCACCATGTCCTTGGAAAGGAACTTCTGGAAGTTTGGCTTGAAGAGCAGGTACACCAGGGGGTTGTAGAGCGTCGAGGACTTGGCAAAGACAGCCGACAGCACGAAGGCCAGCGCTGGCACCTGGCTGGCATCGCCGAGGACTGCCCACAGGGCAACGACGGCGTAAGGGGTCCAGGCGGCCAGAAACCCCAGGCACACGGCAATGCTCAGCTGAAAGAGGAGGAGATGGAGACGGCAGTGCCGTGAGCCTCCCGCAGCACACGTGGGAACTCAGCCACGTGCAACAGGACCCCGAACAGTCGGTCACATCCCCAGGGAAAGGTGCTCAGCCTTCAGGACCCATCGCACCGGGGCGTCGGGGTGTCAGGCATCAGAGCAGCAACTCAGCACATCCCAGTGTGGGCGCATAAACCTGCAATCACTTCAGGCAACCCTGTCCCACCTGGGGAACTCAGGAATTACCTCAGCCCACCACGGCAGATAGGTAAGAAGCACCCAATGACCCAGCCGGGACCAAGCCAGCATTAGGATCCAACAGCCTTTTGGCAGCGCTCAAAATCCCTCTGGCAATCTGTGGGCTGGGGTGCAGACCAACCAAGAGGCTCTGGGAAGGAGCCATGCTCAGACCCCCCTCATCTAAGCAGACACGAACGCCTCCTTCGAGGCCAGGCTTGCAAGCTGTTTTCTTTCTTTCTTTTCTTTTTTTTTTTTTAAAGGGTATCCACTTTTTTTTGACATATCCTTGGTAAATTATAGTATTAGCTTGTAGTCTGGGGAACAATGACTCATGCAAGCTCCTTTTATGATCTTTTCCAATGTAATTTAAAATGAAAACTCCTCCACCTGATGGCTTTAAACGAGGAGAAATGTGTTATTACCCACACTGATACAAACACCTGGAGAATTCACCAGGAGCGGCAGACGCCGCTGGCTGGTGGAAGGGGTCCTGCTGCCTTCGCCTGCCCATGGGGCAGTGGGCTGGAGCAGGGGCACCCCAAGACCCCGTAGCACCCCGAGCCCTCCCCTACCTTCACGACCAGGCTGTGCACGCTGCGGGCTCTGCGCTGGGGGGATGTGTGCTGCCTGACGGCTCTCCGGGACACCCGCACCGTCCAGAGGATCAGCGAGTAGGAGACGAGGATGAGGAGGCAGGGGAGAAGGTAGCAGAAGATGAAGAGGGCAAGGATGTAGAGCGTGGCCTCCCTGCTGGAGGCTTTCCACGTGATGCAGCAGGCTGTCCCGTAGGGCTCGGGGCCGTAGCTGCCCCAGTCGGCCAAGGGGGCCGTGGCAAACATCAGGGCGTACGCCCAGACGCACAGCAGCAGCACTCCGGCGTGGCAGGGTGAGAACTTGTTGCCTGTGGCAGAGGGATGGGGGTGAGGATGGTTCCCCACAGGTGAGGGGGAGCTGTGACCCTGAGCTGCCCACCCCTCCAGCGGGGGGATGAGGCCAGCCACCCTGGGACATGGCCAGGGCCGCCCGGGCAGGGCAGGACCTGCTGGGCACAGCATGGCAGCACCGCAGCCGTGGAGCGGGCAGAGCCGCAGCAGCACTCAGCCACGGGCCCTGGGACACATGGGCATCCCCCTGTCCCCTTGGGCGGGCGGCCACAGCAAGGAGCCAAGAGAAATGTAAGGTTTGGCCCCAATCCGGACAGCAAGTGGCAGGATCAGGGGTGCAGCGTCTCCAGGCTTCGGGAGGAATTGCTGGGAGGTCATGTGGCTGATGGTGGCATGGGGGGATACCCCTGCACCCACAGCCCCACAGGGATGCCCCTGCACCCATGGGCAGCCGGGAGGGAGGGAGAGAGGCTGCCTGGCTGCAACAGCCTGAGCACAGGGCAGGAGAGCTAGCTCCAGGACTGCTCAAAGCCACCCCAGGCACCGTCACCTGAAGGACCTTTTCCTCTCTGTCAGACTGAAGCACTGGGGGAGGTGAGTTTTTTCCTTTTTGTCCCATTCCCCATCGAATCTAAAACCCCCTGATCTTCTAAGAGCTCAGTATAAAGTGCTAGATCTTCAGCCATACATAGGAGTAGCATTTTTCTTTGAAACGAAGCAATTAAAAGCACATTGAGATTAGCCACTTCCTCATGGAAAACGGGCCGGGGTGTCTTGGGGAGACAAGCTGGACGTGCCAGGCTGCCAAGCGCTGGCTCATCTGGAGAGCAGAACCTGCGCAGGGAAAAGCCACCGGTGCCTGGGCTGCCTTTCAACAACCAATTTTTCTCCTTATCTTTCCTTCCACCCTTTCAGTGATCTCCTGAGCGGTTGTGCTGGCACATCACCAAGGTGACTCTACTCCCGCATCGTCCTTGAGGCACTGTCAGCTGCTGGGGACAAAGCGCGCTGGCGGCGGGCAGCAGCCTCAGGCTCGGGGCAGGCGGGCGGCGAGGCATGGGAGAGGGGGTGAGGATGCACCCTGAGGTGCTGGTCTGCAACTCTAACTAATATCTTTGATTTCCCATTTTATTTCTATTTTTGGTCTTTAATCCAGCGTCTATTCTGAAGATACATGCTAGATGGAGGACTAGCAGCCGAGCTAAGGAAATTAAGAAGCAACTCCAAAGAGGAGGAGCTGTAAATGTGTAGGGGACACCCCTGGGTCCCCTTGCTTTCTCAGGTGCTCTCTGCAGTGCATGACCTCTGCAAAGAGCTGGTGCCCAAGCTCAGAGCTCCAAATGTCCACATTAGCTCTGCGGAGGAAGTCCAGGTGAAAATAGGGCTACAGAAGTGAGCTACAAGACTGCAAACCCAGCCCTCCTGTATGAATTATTTCAGTGAATTAAATACATTTGGCCTACAGCTCTCCCACCAGGGACAAGGGAAAGCGACTCTTCCTTGCACTGCCAGAGCTTGTGGCTTCCCGGATGCAGACGCTGCTCTGGCCTGAGCTCAGGTCTGTGTATGGACGTTCGAAACCCTGTGACCTGCTGCAGTACAGCAGCTGGGACTTTTCTACAGAGGGAGGACAACCCCCTTGGTACTTTCATGGATGATGCTCCTGAGCCCTAGAGTGGAGCAGTCCCCGGAGGCAGGGACGGCTGGGATGCATGCACAGGTCATGGGCACAGGGTGCTGGGGGTCCGTAGCCCCACACAGGTGGAGGGGAGCGAATTGCAAGCAATAAAAGCCTTCAGAGCCTGCTGCACTGGTGAATTGGCTGGGAATAGGTGGCCCTGGGGCAAAGCTTTCCCAGAAGAGGCAGATCTGGCCCCGTGAGAGAAGGAAAAAAAAAGGGTTATGTTAACAGAGAGGGGTAGAAGTACAGATCAGATAACGCTCCCCAGCACCTACCATATGCTGGGTAACAGACCTTCAGGCAGCAAACCGTGCTGAGCACCGTCAGGCTGGTGAGGCTGCACAGCCCGAACAAGACCCCACAGAAGGCGTAGAGGGTGCACACCGCCTGGTTGAAGAGCCACCTGCAAGGGGAAGCCTGCAGGTAAACCCAGCCCTGCCCTCTGCACGGGCTGGCTGGCTGGCAGCCCCTGCCACGCGGCCGGGAGGGGGTCATCTCTGCGGTACCTGCTGTGGAGGAAGGCTGGGTGCTTCCCAGCCTGCTCTCCCAGCAGCAGTGGGTGCTGGGGCCTCAGCCACTTGTCCCACACCAAAAGCAAAGCTGACGACACCTGAGGCAGCTGCAATGGGCTGCATGGCTACCAGCGCCTGATTGCCTGAGAAAGCAGGGGCATGATCTTGTCCCTAATTTGCTCCCTGAGCATCCCAGTGACAGGCACAGATGGAGCCAGGGGTGCAGGAGCTGCCCTGATCTGCAGCGGCACACACCACTGTGGTGTCTGTGCCATGTGGGTGCCAGCTCAGAAACCCACCACCAAAGCCCTCGTACAGCACGTCTGTGTGATAAGGTGGAGGGAACGGCAGCCACCCTGCTGTGGGGTGGGTGTCTGTGAGGTTACACAGGGCCTCCATGACACCAGACTGACTCCTTGGGTCCCCCCGGACCCCTGTCACGGATCTCCCCATTTTAAAACAAGGTTTGCAAATTGCACTTGGGGCCATCAGCCGGTGCAGAGCAGGGCGTCACTGTCATGCTCAGGTCACTGATGGCCAGGTTGACAATGAAGAACTCGGCAGGCTTCAGCATGGACCTCTTCTGATAGGCCACCAGAAGGAGCAGCGAGTTCCCAGAGAGGGACACGATGCCTGTGGAGAAGGCAGAGGAACAGTGCTGTATGTAAGAGAGCCGGGACAGGAGCCAGGCTCATGTTGAGAGGCTTGGAAGCAAACACTGGAGATGTCTGCAGAGGGTGAAAAGGGCTCCAGGCTTCCCTCTCCAGAGTGGGCTGAGCAGGGGAGCTGGTGGGACCTGCAGAGCTCTGTGAGCACATCTGGAGCTGCTTTACATCGAGTTTGATCCCTTCCCCTTCCTGAGGTCCTACAGAGGTGTTTGGTAGGAGGGCAGTGACGGGATGAGCCTGCAATGGGCTCCGGGTGCAGGATCTGGCCAGAGTCACTTCTTCCAGCTGGAAGGAGCAAGAGGGGCACTTCCTTCCAGCTAGATAAATAACGGGAGCTTTGTGCGATGGCTCTTCTGATGTGTGGCCAAGGAGCTGGGCCCCTTTGCCTTTTTAATTTCTTTCTGGCAGTGTCACTCCTGTGAGTCTGTGTTGTCCAATATCATGGTAACAAAATAAACAAGAAGAAAGGCATTATGGAGATTAAGGAAAACCCAGACTAAACAAAAGAAGGCTCTTTGTTTGTTCTTAGTGTATTTAAAACAACAGTGGTGATGAAAATTTTATAAGAAGGGCTTTCTCTCTTTTTTTAATTACGTAATCATGCTTTCATTGAAAAGAGGTTTCAGTGTCCTCAGAAGGGGAATCTTTGCTGCTCTTGGGGCAAGGTTGGGTAGGATGAGAGTTTCTCCCTAATGGATTAGGCTGTAAATTAAATATCAGTATAAGAACCAGCTTCCAAAGCCACTGAATGGCCAACACAAAAGTTCACAAAACAGGATTCCCACGCAAGAGCTGGCCAAATCCAGGGCTTTGGAGGCTTTGGAGTCACTGGAGGGTAGAGTACTGAGATGTTTGTCCTTGTTCCCAGCCTCATAAGGCATTTCTCCCACAGAGCTTGTCTCACATCTGTACCAAGTCCATTCGATTAGCTTTACTAACCCCTAGGAGCCGTAGGTGCCTATAGGACTGCTGGTCGGCCCCGTGGTGTGAGCATCCCTTGGGTTCCCCATGCCCGCAGGCATGAAAAAATTCTGGCATTTGGGAGACGACATGCTCAGGGCTCAGAAAACTGGAAGGCTTTTCTTTGCCCATCATTCACTTCTGGCCCACACCAACCAGGTCTAGGCCACCTCAGAGCACGGCCCAGCCCCTCGGTTCTGCTGCTGGCTTTTCAGTGCCACTAACTCCAAATCACAGGACATTCACCAGCATCTCCAGCAGAAAGCAAGGGCCAACTGGGGATCCAACTCACCTTCAACAGTCACAAAGCTGGCAATGCTAACAGAGAGTCCCTGTCCGTCTCACGTGGTGGCAGCAGTAGGAGTTACAGCAACGTTCCGCAAAGGTTGTTCTCCAACTTTCCAATTATTTAAAAACATAACTTGTGCTTGCAGTTCCCCTGAGAGGGGAATGCAGTCGCCAAGCTTTGGCCAGATCATCCTTTTGA